TTAAATCCATCAAATTTTTTCTTTTGACGTTGACTTGCTATCCAAGCGAACATATTCTTCAAATGAATGTCTTTAAATTGAGTATGCAGATTAGAAGCGACACGCCTATGCAAAGCTTATGTCGTGCATCTGGCTCCTCCCATCCACTACCTACCTCATTATGTGCCTTCACAATTTCAGCATGTAGATCTGAAATAATACACAATTCTCTGCGTGTGATAAAATGACGTATGCACGCCAAACCACGACCAACTCTCTCCATTCTCTGCTTCACAAATAGCAAACGTCAAAGGGAACAATTGATTATTAGCATCATTATCCATTGCCACCAACAACGTACCTTTATACTTCCCATATAAGCGCGTTCCATCAATGGTCAATATGGGTCAACAATGTTTAAAGCCCTTAATGGATGACTTAAACGCCCAAAAACTCTTTGAAACTGCACACAGTCAGTGGTACCTGAAAGAGGTGGGTACCAATGCACGCCCGTCCCTGGATTGGAATGCTGTAATGCCGACATGAAATGAGGCAAGTCAGAATACGACGTCTCCCAATCTCCAAATATTTCACCGACAGCTTTTTGCTTAGCTAACCAACTTCGCTTGTACGAAGGTACATCAAGTTTCTTTTTGTTAAATCCATCAAATTTCTTCTTTTGACGTTGACTTGCTATCCAAGCGAACAGATTCTTCAAGTGAATGTCTTTAAATTGAGTATGCAGATTAGAAGCGACACGCCTATGCAAAACTTATGTCGTGCATCTGGCTCCTCCCATCCACTACCTACCTCATTATGTGCCTTCACAATTTCAGCATGTCGATCTGAAATAATACACAATTCTCTGCGTGTGATAAAATGACGTATGCACGCCAAACCACGACCAACTCTCTCCATTCTCTGCTTCACGAATAGCAAACATCAAAGGGAACAATTGATTATTGGCATCATTACCCATTGCCACCAACAACGTACCTTTATACTTCCCATATAAGCGCGTTCCATCAATGGTCAATATGGGGCGACAATGTTTAAAGCCCTTAATGGATGACTTAAACGCCCAAAAACTCTTCGAAACTGCACACAGTCAGTGGTACCTGAAAGAGGTGGGTACCAATGCACGACCGTCCCTGGATTGGAATGCTGTAATGCCAACATGAAATGGGGCAAGTCAGAATACGACAACTTTTTGCTTAGCCAACCAACTTCGCTTGTACGAAGGTACATACCCGTACTTTTCCTTCATAAGCTCACTAATGGTGCGGACTTTTATTGATGGATCAATACGAAGAAGATCAATAATTTCACGAGCTATGAACTGAGATGTGATACCAGCCTGTTCATTGTTATCGACGTTACCTAGACAACTAGGTTTATGAGGACCTGCATAACGAACAACTTTGAACATCTCTAGCCCCTCATGTTTCTTAGTAGCCCGGATACGTCAAGTGCAACCACATTCTTTTTTCCTCTTACCCTCTACCACCCATTTGTGTTTGTCAGACTCCACAACTGAGAAAATTGGTTCCTCTTTACAGAGTACACTCTAATCATGTTAATCAGTTGTTTCTTATCATCAAACTCTTGCGCAACCTTGAATTCACCATCTGCAGAGAAGCGACTAGAAGTTGTACAACCCCTCCATGATTCATCAAATCCCGCAGGGAGCTCATAAACTTAAGTGTAGTGGCTGATTGAGCATTGCCACTTACGAGTTCACCACCATCTGAATCTATTAGTGTGTCATGGTTCACATTTTCATCTGCATCGTCGTCAGTGCATTGTGAATCCAGAAACGTTGCATCACTGTTTACGATCTTCCATTCTTCTGTGTAACCATATTCATCACAACTGGAACACTTGTGTATGGGCAAGATAATGACGGGTTGTCAGGTTGTATGTGCAACACAGTCGCTTCTTCAACATATATCTCCATGGTATGCATAGCAAGATTCGTGATTAAGGTCCACATTCCCGTACCGTCTTCGTCGTCAGCAAGAGGCATCAACATGTATGATCCACCATGAATGGGATATTTAACTTTCAAATCCAACTTGTTCATATGATTGCTGAATGTGGCGGTATAAATTTTATTCATTAACTCAACCACATCCACCCCACAGGAAACAACAATTATGTTCCACTCCCCCCTTCATAATGAATTCCGTTTGACTCCTCGATAATATTTCCTCCCCAATCCAATGACAAACAATGGGGAAGTTTGGAGACATATTCTACCAAAAATTCATTCCAAAAAATTACGACTTATGGCGCACGTTGAAAACTCAACTACAAGTACTTTAATTCAAACAAATTGTATTACATCACATATATCATTTTTATGATTTAATTCAATTAAAAAATCAGTTAGATAATTCAAATTCAATTAAAAAATCATATTAATAATGTGCTACTTTACTCTTGACTAAATGCGCTAAAAGGCTGTGCATTTTGTTTATATGCATTTTGTTTATATATTGAGTTTGATATATGCATTTTGTTTATATATCAGCAATCGTGCATGGTTTTGAGCAAAGGTTTTTTAAAACATTTGCTAGACACGGGAAAATATATTTTCCTGTGCCAGCATAGAAAATTCTACAAAGCATTTTCCATATTTTTAAAAACCATTAAAACCTAAATATGATTTTGATTTCATCTATTCATGAGTAAATATTAGTTTTTTGGAGAGGAGCTTTCCATTATTGATAATATTAACATTTATTTGAAGTTTTTAAGAACTTCTACTTCAGTGCAACGGCCGGGAAAAAGTAAAGATCTACGATTGACAAAAGTTGACAAGGTGGTTAGGCATTGTAAAAACTAGCAATTTCAAATTCAATTAAAAAAATCATATTAATAATGTGCTACTTTATTCTTTCTCAAACAACCCATATATCAAACTCAATTCAACCATGACAATGAAAAATTCAAATTCTACAAATTAAATAATTTCAAGCATAATAATACCATTAACAATTTATATATTTCATTACATCAAATACAAACAAAATAATCCAAAAAAAACAATTTCGAACAAAAATTTAAAAAACCTAGGTTTAGCAAAAATGGTGAAATACTTCAATTCAAACGGTTGAAAGTTGGTATAATGGAGCACAAACGACCTCGGGTACACTGTGTCTCTTTTCCCTTTGATTTGAGCTTCGTTTTGACGAGATCCAGCCGGTGCTCGAACTGGTGTGGCTTCCGTCTGTCGCAGCCGTCGCAGAGGAGGTGGTTTTGTTTTTCTGCTGCATCGTTTGTCGGCTGGGAAGAAAGGAAGTTATTTTGTAAATTAATGAGCCACCACTTGAAGTAGTGGCTTTTGTAAAGTAATTGAAAAGCCGCCACTTGAAGTGGCGGCTTTGCTTAACCATGGTGAACTCAGCAGTATTTCAGGAATTATTCTTAACCCAGTCGTATTTTGGGAATTATTTATTTAATTAGCATTATTCTAGGAAAAAACTCTTTAAAAATATCATTGACATTTCCCAATTTAAAAGTATTTCAAAACAAGTATTGTTTTAATTGTATTAATACATGAATTCATTCAAAATGTATATTTTCAAATTTGGTTTATTTGTGGGGCAAACAATGTAGCTTATCATTGGATATCACATTGCTAGAAATTTAATTAGCCAGAAAAAGTTGATTCGGCAAGTAAAACTACAATGTGTATGGCTAGCCATTGTAGCTGCTGCTCTTAATACTACATGCAACTTATAGCTTAAAAGTGCTAAAGTTTAGCCTAAGCTATTGTTTGAAAAACATAATTTAGTTTTTTCAAAGTAAAAGCATAAGAGTGTTTCTTAAAAGCAATATCAAACACCGCTTAAGAAAATATTATTTTACTATATTGATGACGTTGTGACTACCACCCCTAGATGTATTAGGTGCAATTGGAAGTACTTCATTGAGAAAAATGTAATACAATTACAGTATTTAACATAGATGAGTCCAACTTCAATAATGAACACCTGTCATCAAAATCATTCAAAATGTCCCAATTCTACATTAATATGCCTTGATTTGCTTTAGCATAGAGGCATAAGAGCACATATGGGAACACCATTACTTGGACAAAAGTTATGATTTAATACTTCATACTCCCTCCGTTCCATTGGACTTTGCCAAGTGAATATATATAGAGAATATATTATTATATCTGTATGTGAACACATATTGTATTATTGTGAATGACATATGTCACCACCACCAACCCCGGCCAGTAGATCCCAAATAATATCTACCAGGTGTAGTATTTTATTTCATATACTTATTAGAGAGGAAAATCAACCCATTCCATTAGCAGTAATATTGGTAATATCCTAAAGCATAATCCGTTATTGGAATTGAATCTTAATTACTACATATTTGGATCTATTAGATTCAAGTTTCAAAGTTATACAATATTCTAGACTCACTAAATCTCACCATTCACAATTTCACCTTACTCTTTCTTAGTCTCTGTACAAATATTGATTTTAATTATATTCTTATGAGTCGTAATGGGAGTGATCCTTGCCCCATTTTCTGGCAAAGAAACATCTCATATATGTCTTTTTAACAACTCTTATTATGGAAAAAATTATGTATAAGGCTTTAGTGCAATTTCAAACAACTCAATTATAATACCCGTTAATATTTAATTAGTTGTGTTACCTTATCAAAATAGCATTGGGCATTTTCTCCTCAAGCATCGTGCATAGTAAAACTAGTATATTATTAAATGTGATGATTCTATCATTCATACATGTTAATGTGTATATATATAGAGACACACAAACAGAACACTACTTATCATATTTATGCAAAAATATTGTTAACATATAATTTCTCTGTCTCCCACTAGTTCCCACGTAGGTGCTAGGTGCTGGGCTGGCGCGTGACCCGTGCCTAGCATCTTTTAGAACATTGCGTCAACCTTTCTCCATATTCACTATTCACATTTCACTTCGTTTCTTTTTATCTAGTCACCTTTTCATATGTGCTTTTGGCAGGGTGTTTTCATAAATCCAGCTGTTATTGAGCCTTTTGGACTGACTCTGATTGAGGTACAGTACTTTTTAATAATGAAATTACAACTTTCTTGGTCAAAATCCTTCTGAAATAGTTCTTTTTCTGTTGGACAGGCTGCAGCACATGGTCTTCCTATGGTTGCCACAAAAAATGGTGGGCCCGTGGATATACAAAGGGTAAACATTGTTTGTCCATCAGTCCATTAAAACATGTAGCTTTCTACAATACAACATTATACATTAGATTTTTTATATTGTTCTATATTTTTTATCTGCAGGTTCTTGACAATGGTCTGCTTGTTGATCCCCATGATCAGCAGGCTATTGCTGATGCACTTCTGAAATTGGTTGCAGAAAAGCAACTGTGGGCTAAATGCCGGGCAAATGGTTTGAAAAATGTACATCTTTATTCATGGCCAGAGCATTGTAGAAATTACCTTTCTCGAATAGCAGGTTGCAAGCCAAGGCAACCATGCTGGCTGAGAAATGCCGACGATGAAGAAAACTCAGAATCAGAGTCACCTAGTGATTCTTTGAGGGATATCCAGGATATATCTTTGAATTTAAAATTTTCACTGGATGGTGATAAAAATGAGGGTACTGATACCTTTTTCGATTCTGATGATCGAAAGAGTAAGTTAGAGAATGCTGTATTGGCTTGGTCCAAGGGTGTGAAAGGCACAATCAAACCTGGGTCAATAGATAAAACAGATCAAAGTTCTAGTGCTGGTAAGTTCCCATCACTGAGGAGAAGGAAGCAGATCTTTGTTATAGCTGTGGACTGTGATACTAGCACAGGTCTGTTTGAAAATGTAAGAAAGATATTTGCGGCCGTGGAAGCCGAAAGGATGGAAGGATCTATAGGGTTCATATTGGCCACATCATTCAGTATGTCAGAAGTGCACTCTTTCTTGGTTTCCGAGGGCATGAGGCCTACTGATTTTGATGCTTTCATTTGCAATAGTGGAGGTGATCTTTATTATTCGTCATTACACTCTGAAGATAATCCGTATGTGGTTGACTTGTACTACCATTCTCACATTGAATATCGCTGGGGCGGTGATGGGTTGAGGAAGACTCTAGTTCGTTGGGCGACTTCCCTTTCTCATAAGGGTGAAAATGAAGAAAGTATTGTTGTTGAAGATGAAAAGAACTCAGCTGGCTACTGCTACAATTTTAAAGTTCGCAAGTCCGGGAAGGTGAGTGTATTTGCGTTTGTCATTTCTTCATTTTTTTCATATTTGGGGTGTTGTGAGTGGCTGATTGTCGCTGGGGGCTGGTTAGGTTTCTTAAGGTGTCACATGAAAGTGTCACATTAATACCTTTCTGATATGGAAAGAAGAAGCTGATAGAGATCAATCCAAACAGTAAAAACAGTGGTGTATTCAATCAAGGGGTTCTGAGAAATCCTCAGATATCCTTAGGAAATTACAAAACAACAGAAGAACGTAATAGAAGTAGAGGCAAGTTCGAGAGTGCTCATCTCTCCCATGAGTCCCAGTTCCAGTTCCCAATTTCTTCCCCCTTTGTTCTATTCCCCAACTCCTATTTATAGTCTTTTTCCTCATGGGCTAGCCCACAACTAGCAAGTACCTGGCCCAGAACCCCTTATACAATATCACAATTATTTAGTATAATACTATTATTATTACTGTACTAATCTGCCCTGTTCCTATCATATCTCCCCCCTTAGACAACCACCTTGTCCTCAAGGTGGGTGATAGGAAACAGCCTTGGAAACCAGCTTCATCCTGGCGCCTCTACCTTCCCAGCATCTCCCTGATGGCCGGACCATGTGCTTTAGTGCTTGAAAATTCATTATTCCTTTTGAACAACGCAGTCCACCCCCAAATTTATCCAGATTCACTTCAAGGAGAGTAATGTTGTTAGTTGGGAGAACATAATGCTTGTTCTGTTGCTCAAATTGCCCGGTAGACCAGCAATTGTTCTCATAAAATGCCAGTGTTTAGGGTTTGTGAGTACAAAAAAGAATTGAATTCCCTGCTCATAGAATGACCTGTCCTCAAACTGAAGCTTGTATGAGCAAGAATGCTGTGATGGTAAAGGCTCAAAGGGATTTCCACTGCCCTTTTCAGATAGAACAAAACAATGGTATCTGACATCTTTCTTGTATTTTCTCCAAACCTGTTCTTGGCTATCATTTTGTGGGATAACCTTGATAACTGTGAGGACATTCCCCTCAATATCCTTCCCAGAGAGAAGTAGTTTCTCAATTCTTGAGAGCTCCGGGAGAACCACATCCGTTGGCTGATATAGTATAAGTCTTCCAACAAACGAATCTGAACGGATTGGTGTATATTCAAATACAATACGACAAGTATAGTCTTCATTTGTGACTTCATAGAATCATAGGTTCTAAAATTTGCTCCGTCAATAGTTTCTCTACACCAACTGCATAAGCTTGATCCGTCATAACAGCCAAAATAGTTGCTATCTCCAAGGTAAATACTTGATGATAACTCCGCTAAATGAACATTGGAAATGACATGAGAAATACCAGAAACAAGAATTTCACGAATAGAAACCAATGCATTTCCAGATTTTCCATCGACGCGTGTTGGAAGGCAGTGTGAAGTCAAGTACGTTCCCACATCTTCCAGGGTCAGAGTATACATTAAAGACTTTCAACCCATATGAGCGTCAATTAAGCTACACGGTGCATCTAGCAGTGCCGCTCCATGAATCTTATCCTTTTTTTGGATAAAATGTAAATATATTATTACCCAAAGTAAAGTTTACAAAATTTAAAGCTCCCCCCACCCCCTCCTGTGATAGGAGAGGGTTGGAAGGAGCTTTCACTTCAAAACGGACATCACCAAAGATAGCCATAAGGCTCACCTATGCCGCGGCATAGGAAATCAAAAAGAAACAAAATAGGACTGCGCCTTAGTGCACGCACTTAGCCTATCAAAACCGAGGCTATACAAACGGCTTTCATCGTTCTTATCAAAATGTGATCAACTCATGTGGGTATATGTTGTAGAGTACCTTATACACCACATGTTTGACCTTAGCAACAACCTCTTCCTCCTTCATCTTTCCATCAAATCTGCACTCATTCCTAGCATGCCAAATGTAGTACACCGTTGCACAGAAAGCAATGCGGGCTGCTTTGGCCTTCAACGTTGATCCTTTATGGGTCTTCTTGATCCATTTGATTGAACTCAGCAAGGTAGACATCTCATGTCTTAGTCCCATCCAGCTCCTTACGTGATGCCACACCCTACAAGTAAAGGGGCAAAGAAAGAAAAGGTGTGGTATTGTTTCCAAACCACCCTTACATAGATCACACCGGTTCACGATATAAAGATACCCGAGGCTATCTTGTGTAGGTAGTCGGTTTCTTAGGGCCAGCCATGCATTAAATGAGAGTTTGGGGGGAATGTAGGATTTCCATATGAAACTTATAGGAGTCCTAGCTTCTCCCTTGACCCTTAGGAGATCGTAAACTTTTGCGGAGGCTAATTTACCATTCGAGGCTCTCGAGGCAAGGCCCATGATAGTGTCATTGAGATTATTGAAGCACCCTCGGATCTTATCACGGATGAGACTCAACCGCTTCATGAGCTGTGAGTCCCGGGTGTGTGGGATAAAATCCCACACGGTTCTACCTTGAAGGTATACACCGTTCACCCATTTGACCCAAAGGGTGTGCTTCTTCATATGGACATCCCATAAAGTACGAGAGAGGAGGGCGTGATTCCATACCTTAGCATTATGAATGCCAAGTCCTCCTTCCTCTTTTGGGAGACAAATGTCTTCCCAAGCTACTTTCGAAAACTTACCACCCCATAAGAATATTCGACAGATCGATACTATCCTATCCAAAATAGTTTGGGGAATCGGGAAAACTTGGAGCCAAAACGACTGGACCCCTTGGATCACAGATCGTATTAGCTCTAGTTTACCGGCATAGGAGATCGTCTTTGTGTTCCATGCGTTTAGAAAATCGTTTATCGTATCAAGAAGGGGGACATATTGTGCCACGGAGATTCTTAGCGGTGCTAGTGGGATTCCAAGGTATCTCACCGGGAATACTCCACGACCATAATCAACGAGGTCCATGAATCTTATCCTTTGTTCTAAACCATGTATTCTCTCCAGCCCCTTCTTTATCTCCAAAAATCTCTGTTCAGGAATAACCTCCTTGCCTTCATAGCATTCGGGAAATGCTAATTCAACTCCCTTTGGTTCCCCAGGCTCTACTGGTCCTGACAAGATACTCTTGGGGCTTCCTTTCATCCCATCTTTTCTTATAGGAGTGTAAATAAGTTCTTATGCAGTTTTCAACATCATCAATAGTCAAATTCGAAAAGTAACTAGAACTGATTTTATCTTTGACACCACCAGTCTTTACTGGAAACAATTCACCTGAACATTCTCCCATCTCCTCGCCAGTATAAGAAACCTCGAAGCCAACACGTTCCCCTTCAGTCAAAGATCCATCAGATTTGAGCAATGATAGGTATGTCCAGATTCCCAGAAATTTTACAGAAAAGATGAACAGAAATTAAAGGAACAATTCAAGAAAACTGTATTGAAGATGAACCAGAATCTATGGCCGAAGCCCCCAATAGCCGAAGCCTCCAAAGAAAGAGATTATTCGTCTCTAACTTCCCAGTCCCAAGAGTCAAGACTAATCGTCTAAAAAGCCTCTCTACTACTTCCCCCTTCCCATCTATTTATACTAGAGACCCTTATTACTAATATTATTATTATTACTTCTAATATTATTCTACTAAGTAGGTCTCTATCAATACTCCCCCCCTAAACATCCACCTTGCCCTCAAGGTGGTCGGTAGGAGACAGCCCAAATCTTTTGCTTCTTCTTCTTCTTCTTCCTTGCACCTCTTCCTTCCCAATATCTTTCAAATGTCAGGATCCTTAACTTCATGACTTGAATCTTCCTTCTCACAGCTTCTTGCAAAAACAGCATTAGCTCCTCTTTCTTCCAATCATCAATATTAGGCCTGTGTCTTTGATCATGCGGGTATTGATCTTCACCCACCATCCCTTGTTCATTCTTCCATGTGCTAATAGCTCTTGCTACAGGATATAACTCAAATCTTTGAGTTTCAGTTGCTTCACTCCTTGAAATTTCAGCATCTTCAGTAGCCAACTTATTTGAGAAGGAAAACCTCAAAGGTTTTAGCAGGTAGGTGAGGATATCCACTATTCCAGTTGCATTTCTCCTAACTGAAGAACAGGAAAGCCTATTATCCATGCAAAACTTCCAAAGTAGGTTTTCTTGCAGATAGACAGATTCTTCATCAGAAGAAAACAATTCATTTTTCCGGCCTTGTTTCAGTTTCGCCTGTCCATTTGCTACAGATGTAACAGGGTCTCCAATACTAGTATGTGACTCGGTATACTCAGTACCTATAAAGTTTTGAGGAATCACTTGGTTCTCCAATTCATGACCAGCAATTTTATCAACGGCAGATTCATATTCCTTAGAAATAGAGGATTGAGTCACCATAGAAAAATTCTCCTCTCGTTTCTCGTCACCCTTGGTGAACGTTTCTTCATATGAAGGTTGTCCCTGACTCACAGACTGCCGCGGAAGTGAAACTGACTCAACTTGCGAACAGTGAAACGCGGAAATCTGTAGTGAAACCTGCGAACAAGGGAGATCTGTTCGCTGCGAAGGAGGCAAAGCTGAGAACGATGAAACTTGTGATCTCGTGAACTCTGCTCGCGGCGCAGTTGGCGAACTTGTAGAAGGTGCTTGTGACTGAGACGACACCTGAAAACCGGAATCTACTGTTCGCGACCAAGCTGAAACAGTTTGCGATGATTTCTGCGAACGGAAAGCTTCTCCTCTCGATCGCGTTGGCTTTGGACGTGAAGTTTGCGAAGCTGAGGAATACTTTGTTCGCGATTCCTTCTGCGAAACAGAAGAAACACTTCGCGATTCCCTCTGCGAACGGGTGAGCGATGAACTCTGTGTTTCAGATTTCCGATGATGTCCGGTGTTTTTCGCTCGGTGCAAGGTCTGACTTAGACGTTCACAGTCTCGTAAAATTTCCTTCAACCTAGCGTTGGTCTCCTTCATCTGTTGGTTCGTTTCCTTCATCTGTCGATTCAGATTGTCAAATCTTTCTTCCATTTGCGGTGTCATATAGAATTCCTCCATCTCTTTCAGATAATTCAGATTCTTCGTGTCCAGGAAGTAACGTGCTCTGATACCACTGATAGGTATGTCCAGATTCCCAGAAATTTTACAGAAAAGATGAACAGAAATTAAAGGAACAATTCAAGAAAACTGTATTGAAGATGAACCAGAATCTATGGCCGACGCCCCCAATAGCCGAAGCCTCCAAAGAAACAGATTATTCGTCTCTAACTTCCCAGTCCCAAGAGTCAAGACTAATCGTCTAAAAAGCCTCTCTACTACTTCCCCCTTCCCATCTATTTATACTAGAGACCCTTATTACTAATATTATTATTATTACTTCTAATATTATTCTACTAAGTAGGTCTCTATCAAGCAAAAGGCAAGTTGGTGGCCCTGGAAGGATAGGTCCAACTTGCTCTGAAAGAACATGAGCACCTCGGGCCCAATCACGACAAAAAGGTTCACCAGATACAGATATGAAATAGCCAACCTCAGCCAGTGCAAGTAAATAGGAAGAATCTGAAGGGATATCAACTATTTGTAAGGGAAGCAATCTCAGTTCATGGACGACCACTTTCTTGGCCTTTGCCAACTTTTGACTTACCAATCTGGCCATCATCCAGTACCGGAGTGCATTTAAATGATAGAAGTTTACCAATAGCATCCTTAGCGAAGTGTGAAGAAGACCTGATGCTTCTGGTATTTTTAAATCAGATTCATTTTCACCCTCATGAATATACCAATTGTAAATGCTTTTTCCTTCATGACCACCAATATAACCATATGTTGCGGTAAGGATTCTGCTCTCACTGCAATCTGCAGTGAACGCTAAAAAGTTCACACTGGGTGGAAGTGCTTCAGTGCTTCGTTGACTAGTACCTTCACCCTTAGGCGCTCCAGGAGTAGCTTGCCCCAAATTCAGAGTAACGACTTGGGAGGAAATCTGAGAACAAACTGATAATGAAGAAGCCTTGTTCTGTGAACAGCGGATGAGGATACCTGTGAACTGAGAGTATCTGCATGTGACGAAGCTGGAGTACTGGGAGAAGAGGTTTGCGACTTAGATGAAACCTGCGAACTCAGCGAATCTGATAGGGACGAAAATGGCGACAGCGAGCGGGAAGCTTCTATGTGCGACACAGTCTGCGAATAGGGAAGAGCTGATGCCGACTGCAACAAACCTTTGCCTTTTGAATTCATGCAGCGACGCACAGTCCTCGATCGTCCTCTCCGGCGACGTTGTTTCCATCATTTGCAATGGAGCCAAAGATTCATTATTTTTTGGCTTGAGATTATGATGGAATAAAGCAAAATGGCTCACTAAACCGTCTGCGCTTCTTTGTTATGAAGCAGCAGTCAGCCCATGCAATTTTGGACGCGATTTTCACTATGGGTCATTCGGAAACAGTCTCTATGTGCTTTACTACAGGGGTAAGAATGCGTACATCCGACCCCCCTTTGCGGCACTGGGGTAAATGAAAATGAAAATGAATCTCAAGCCAAAAAATAATGAATCTTTGGCTCCATTGCAAATGATGGAAAGAAAGGGGAAGTATGTAGATAATTAAGGAAAATAGAGAGTATTGTAGAATGGACTTTTTTATTTTAGAATTTGTGTGCATTTAATATTATGATGCTTTTTAATTGAAATTTGGCAAACTGATTTATTTTGGCACATGTCATTATAATTGATGATATTTGTTCAACTGCTCAGATTCCTCCTTATATGGAGCTTAGGAAGCTGATGAGAATTCAGGCTCTCCGTTGTCACGTTGTCTACTGTCAGAATGGTAGCAGAATCAACGTGATTCCAGTGCTGGCCTCACGCTCCCAAGCAATCAGGTGTGTGTGTATGTATAGCTTCTACGACATATTCAATAACAATGTTCCATACTAGTTGTGTGAGTACTGAGTAATTGGTAACATTGTTGTGTTCAGGTACTTGTATCTGCGGTGGGGAATGGACTTGTCAAAGTTGGTGATCTTCGTTGGTGAAAGCGGGGACACCGACTATGAAGGATTGCTTGGGGGCTTAAGGAAAGCCGTGATTCTGAAAGGCATCTGCAGCAGTTCTAACAACCAGCTCCTTTCTCATAGGAACTACCCACTCACAGATGTAGTTCCTTACGACAGCCCAAATGTTTTCCAGACAAGTGAAGAATGCGACACATCTGAGCTTCGTGTGATGTTAGAGGAGAAGCTCTGTGTTCTGAAAGGATGAGGAAATCTTTTCCTTTCTCCTCGAAAAAAGAAAATATTTCATTTTGAGATAAAAGTGAAATATTTTCAAAAAAAGAAATAGAATAAATTTATGTGCTGCCCATGGGGATATTAAACAAAACACTTTTCTTTTGTCATAGTTCTTGAGAACTTGCTCAAGGCTTCTATGATTTTGTTGTATTTATTAAACACCCATCTTTGCCCCTCTATCTTGCTCGCTCACTACAAGCCATTCTTTTTATGTACAGTAAATTTAGATATGGTTATAGGCATTCGTTTGGCTTGAATAATGTGAGGGGACTTCTGGTCCTAAGTAGTTTGTGAATTCAAACTTCTGACTTTGAGCGAGCAGTTGCACTGGCCTTTGCGTATGTATATAATATACTTTATGTGGTTTATACTGCAATACCAGGGTCACGAGTTGCTGGGTAAATTTGTATCATAGTCCAGTTAATGTTCAATGATGGTTATTCCTATTATTGTGTCAGCGTTGGCTTATTCTTTATGAATATATTGAAGTAGCTCAAAAAATTCAAAATACTTAAAATCAGGCATATAAAATATTCAACTTTTCGTTCTGAACATTAATTGTTATTGCACACATGAACTGTGTTTCTTTGTTTAAGACTAACACATTTGCACGAAATACGTACAAAACATGCACAATAATTGCACATTAAAGATTTAAAGTTAACGGATGTGAATATGTGATACACTTTTTGTAAAACACAAACACACCACAACTGTACATCAACTATTAGTCTGTTATGCATGTACCGAACACGCACGATAGTTGCACAAAACATGTACGATAGTAGCATAATAAGTTGCCCTGAACATGTGTGATAGTTGCACACTTGCACATTAACTTCAACTTTAGGGAAAATTGGCATACCCTGTCCTAGTTAGGGATGGATCCGGGCCGGGCCCGGGCGGGCTTTTTTTGCAAATCCTTGGGCCCAGAACCGGCCCGGGTTGATATTGGGTCCGGGCCTAAGTGCCTAACTGGGCCGGACCCGGTTCAATGTCTATTTTTTTTTTTGCTTTCTTGTTATCCCCCGACCCCCCCTCACTCGCACCCCCAAACCTCCCCAAAATACCCAGTCCTACCCTAGGAAAAGAAAAAATTGAAAAAAAAAATTGACCCGGGCCCGGCCCGAACTGCCTGGGCTGGTTCGCCCAAAACTAGGCCAGAGCCCAGACCGCCCGACCCGCCCAAACGGGCTAAAAGCCCGGAACCGGCCAACTGGTCCCGGTCCGGTTCGGGCCCGCACAGTAGCGGGCCTGGCCGGTTTCGGGCCGGCCCGACCTGGTTTAGTCCATCCCTAGTCCTAGTGTTGGACTCGGGGCGGGTCACCCGGCCCGTGGACCGGCCTGGTTATGGTTGGACTCGGGCCGGGTCGGGCCCGGACCTAGGCCCGATCGGGCCGACAAAGTTATTAGGGACGAAGGGAGTATTCATTTAAACCATCCAACTTTTAAAAAACGTTTAATTTAACAGGTAAACAACCGGTCATGCGGTTACTTGAACACGTGTCAACCCGTTTGGCAATTCTCTCTCTCCCTCTCCCATTTACTTTCTTCTCGGCCCGCAGCGGGAGTTCAGATCATTTGCCATTTAGCTGTTCGTCCATTCTCTTTATCATCCGATACTTTGAATCTTCATCCCATATATAATGGTTTGAAGGGAGACGTACATTTTAAACACAAAAAAATTGTTTTAGGTTCGCCTCACAATCAACATATGACGAGTAAGAATACAGATAATAAATTATTATAATTAAAAAACAATGGCTTAATTACAGAAATTGACTTAGGACAATAGCACATAATCCGATCGGGTCGTTCCAGATGCGTGCAGCCTACCTAGTCATAAATAAAGCTCGCATGGGTTGACTTTTCCAGCATCACGGGTGATGCGTTCGTTGAATAGTTTAAAACTTTGAAGCACTGAAAAGCTAACTGTACTTATAAATGAGGGGACGGCACAATGCATTAAATGTACTCACCATGTCATTATATGTGCTTCTCCAAATGTTTGTAAAATCTTCCAGGGCAGACCACATTTAGCAATAAAACAATCATATGATTAGCACCTAATGCCGAGTACTACCTCCGTTGTTAAATGAATGCAACACGTAGAATTTTATAATATTCATATGTTTCACGTTGGCTATGTTTTATTTATTAACGTATTAATGATTTTTTTTTAAAAAAATACAATGTTAAATTTGTTTCATCCTAAAGAAACCAGGGTGCCCTCGTCGGCCGTGCCCTCATCGGCCGTGCCCTCGTCGGCCAAGACCCTCGTCGGCCACGGAAGTCTCACAGAACCGGATTTTACACTTATTCATTTGTATAGCCCACCAGTGGCTTTGTATTCGGCCCAATAGCGGTCCAGTTATAAATGGGCCTCCCAAGCCCAAGACTTGGGAGCCCAGCCCGTATTTTCCCTATAAATACTTCCTCTGGAGGTAGTTATCAGGGTTACAAATTCATTCTATTGAAGCATTTCTTGCACTTCTCTCTCTAGCTCTCACTTCTCTCTAGATATATACTCTATCACTATTATTGAGTAAAAAGTAATGTATTCAAAAATGAATTTTAAAGAATTGTCTAGACATCTTAATGTGAAGAAGTAATGTTTTTTTGCTTAACAGTGAAACTTGTTTTTACTCAATTAATAAGTCGGGGCCAGGGCCGGTTTTGGGGCATGGGCAAGGGGCATACGCCCCGGGCCCATTCCTCATGTAGGGCCCATAAATTTACCAGTTATACATAAATATAAATTATATATACGTTATATATCTATAAAAAATTAAAAGTAAAATAAAAATTATAATTTTTATACTTCCAATTCATTAATTATTCAACAATACCTAAATGCTATAAGTCTAAAATTTTGGAACATCTACACCAAAATTTATTGGGATCAGACTGCACAATTCTAACCATTCATAAAATGTTAGTGCATAAATGTTAATCTTTTCAACTACTTCTCTCATGTAAACCCATGATCCATTCATAGCAATTTACTAGTTTTCTTTGATTCTCTCATTTAAGTGAAGTATTAAATTATAGTATAAAGAATTTAGAAATTTGTAGTTTATTTTAGTCTGGTGAAAATGTGATTTCAAATATAAAAACATTACTCCATATATCATATACTCCGTAACATTCATGTCTTTGCCTACTTCATTTTTGTATTGCAAGTAACGATGGTACTACTTTTTCGTTTGATCAGTTTAGGTATATAGATAGTATTCTCGAATGTACGTAACTTATCAAATACTTAAATATAATCTTTCTAACCGTCTCATTTATTAATTTCTTTGTTTTGTTACATTCGTATATAGATAACGAAATTCCTTAACTTTAATTAAATTTTTTTATAAGAAAAATAAACATTCACATGTTCTTAAAGGCCTATTCTATCTATATTGTCCTGGGTCCATAAAATGCCAGGACCGAGCCTGAGTCGGGCTTTTAACTAAATCATAATTAAACATGATTTAATGTTTGAACTCTAACTCATGTTTTAACTTTTTTCACCCATCTTAATTCCATTCACTCACAAGTAAGCAAACACAACATCTACACAAAAGTCGTAGTATATACGAAGTATATATTTATACTTGACTTTTTTCATCACGTACAAAATGAATTGAAGAGAGTGCTATCTATATACACCCTCCGTCCCGAAATTGAAATTTCTGGTTTGACCTACACACATAATTATGTAAGGTAATGTTTTGTTTTGACTTTTCAAATTTACCCTTATTTTATATCAAATCAAGCAAAAAGTGAATAAAAAGTAAGAGTAGTTATGACTTTTGAGATAAAAGTGGTTTCCTATTATATAAATGAGAACTTCTTTTTGGAACATTCATAAAAGAAATGTGAGAACTTCTTTTCAGGACGGAGGTAGTATATGGTAAGATGGTGAAGATTTAAGAGCATATAAAGAGAAGAAGATGAATAGTATAGTGTGTGAATTATGAATTAGCGTTTACACGCACTCAAGGGGAGTATATATATGAAAATCACATTTCTAATATAGACTCGACAGACCCGATTACATAAAAAGACTGATAATATAAAAAGTTAATCTAAAATATTCGAATAATATTAATCTATAACAATGGAAATGCTATCTACCACTACAAAAAAATTCGCCTGTAGTCACGGACCGTAGTCACGGATTTGATCCGTGACTAGTTAGTCACGGTTCTAATCACAGTGTAGTCACGGAATCGTTAAAAAAAAGTAGTCACGGATTTGTCCGTGACTACGTCCGTGACTAGAGGTAGTGACGGACCTAGTCCGTGACTAAAGTGTTCCGGCCAACCCATTTTCGCCTCCGGCGGTTTTTTTTTTAAATTTGAAATTAGTCACGGACAAGTCCGTGACTACAGTTAGTCACGGACGTGACCGTGACTAATTCCGTGACAAGTCCAAAATTGATTTTTTCAACGTTCTAAATTTAAAGTGCACCGACAATTCGTACAAAAAACAGTAGTCACGGACACATCCGTGACTACGTCCGTGACTACAAAATTTATATATGCAGCCTCGGCTTCCTTCAACAAAATCACACCTTCTACGTACTCCAGACAGAATTCCAGATAGAATTGAAGGATGTAATCTACTCATCTCATATCATTTTTCCTGTTTATGCAGATAAGGTATGTAATTTGAATTACGTATTTTTTGTAAATTAGTTAAATATGTAAATTTGTTAATAAATATATACATATGTAAGTATATTATTAAATATAATATTGGCAATACATATGTTATTAATTTTAAAATATAGGATTAAAATTACGTAAATTAGTTAAATACGTATGTAAGTATATATGATTAAATATAATTTAAATGCATATTATTAATATTAGTTAATAAATGTAAGTATTATTTAATTCAAATGACTTTATATATATATATATATATATATATATATATATATATATATGATTAAATATAAGTATATGATTTCTTTATATTGGCAATTATTGTTAATTAAGGCGGCCTAATTTAGGATTAATAATGATTTAAATTAGGGTTAGTTAATTTAATTTAAATGTGTTTATTATATATATATGCTCAAATTATTGAATTTGCTCATATTATTTAATTTAGTACGTAAATTGTTAAATGTGCATTATTAATAAGATTAAGATGTTGATAATTTTAGTATTGTGGATTAAATTAATGTCATTAACGTATTGTGCATGTTTATAGTTTAATAATATTAATTATTGGACGTTAGTTAATTTTAATCCACAATTTTAGTAAATTTTAGTGAATTTTAGTGAAATTTTAGGCAATTAGTTAATTTTAAGGGAATTAGTTAATTTTAAGGGAACTTTAGGGAATTAGTTAATTTTAAGATAATTTTAGTGAATTTTAGTGAAATTTAAGGAAAGTAGTTAATTTTAAGGGAATTTTAGGGAATTAGTTAATTTTAAGTGAATTTTAGTGAAAT